CATTTTCTGGGAACCCTGGAATGGACCTGGCCAGAGTCCATGATCCTGGACAGTACTTAATTAAAGCTCACTTCAAATTAGACTCAAAAACTGTGATAGTGGCTCTTAATTCTTACGTGATGGAATTAACATTTTAATCTCTTCTTTTAGTTACTTGAATCTTTTTTGTTAATGTTTTCTAAAAGTCTTCTTTCCTTTGTCTTCTATTAGTTTTTCTATAATCCAGTTAATCTGTGATATAATTTATTATTTTTTCTATGGGGTTTATTTTTTCTAGTTTCTTTAGATATAAAGTTAAGTTGTTGATTAGTGATTTTTCTTTTTTTGGCATAAGCATTTACAGGTTAAAAATGGTTTTGCTTCATCCCATAACTTTTGGTATATTTTGATTGTTTTAATTCTTGTAAGGCATTCTTTAATTAACTATGAGATTTCTTTGTTTTTTTTTGTTGTTGTTGTTTTGAGAGTGTGTTAATTTCAGTATGTTGGTGAAATTTTCAGTTTCTGTGTTTCCAGTTTCATTATAGTATGATCAGAAAAGATCCTTTGTATGATTTCAATCTTCTTGAATTTGTAGACTTTATTTCTAGTATATGCTGAAAACGTATATTGTGCTACTGTTGAGGTTCATGTGACATACATATCTGTTGTGTTTAGTGTTTTATACCATGCTCCAATTTCTTTACTTTTCTGATTTTTATACCTTTATTCATGAATTGAAAGTTTGTTCCCGAAGTGTTCCTAGTGCTGTTATGTAATGAAAAAAAATTGTACCACATAAGAGCTGTTAAGAATAGAACATATTTAATGTTTGTTAATTGTGATTTAATTCTATTATTATATATAATGTTCTTCTTTATTTCGTTGCTCATGATTTAATGTTTGTCTGATGTTAGTACGAATATTATATTCTATATCATCACCATCCTTTCACTTTTAGTCTGTTTTCCTTGATTGAATTTTCTTATATGTGAACCATTATTAGACTCCATTTTTAAAATCTGTCTAGCCAATCTATGTGCTTTGAATAGTTTACTTTATTAAGAATAGAAAAAGGTATTGTTTCCTTTTTCTTACTGTTCTCTGCATTTTCTTCACAGGCTTTAGTGTTCCTTCTTGTTTCCTTTCAGATGTGTCCTTGCTAATTAATATTGAAATTAACAGTGTATCATTTCAATGAAAGCTTAACTTCATTTTCATATAAAAGTGCTACTCCCTCACGGCTCTCTTCCCTTTGTTTTTTATATTACCTGTTGCAAGTCATTAAACAGATATATTCTCTGTTATTTAAATTACAGTTCCAAAGTCACAATAACACAGATAACTGTATCTGTCCATGTACTTTACTGGAGACTTTTTACAAAGTTTGCACTATAGAAAATTTCATTTTTCTGTGGCTTGGTGTTTCTGCCTATGGTCGTTTCATTTCTTGTGAGAAGATTTAGTGGAAATAAACTGTTGTAGATTTGTCTGGGAAAATCCATTCTCTCCTTCATCTTTCCAAAGACTGATGCTTGTTTGTTTGAGACAGGGTGTCTCTATGTAGCTCTGACTGTCCTGGAACTCACTCTGTAGACGAGGTTGACCTTGAATGCACAGAGATCTGCTTGCCTCTGCCTTCCAAGCAGTGCTGAGATTAAAGTCATGAGCCACAGCCACCTGGCCCCAAAGACTGTTTTGATAGGCAAATTTCTTAATTGCCAAATTTTTCCTTCAGCTACTTGAATATGTCCTCTATTTCCTGTCCAACATCGCTCCTGCTGAGAAGTCCACTCATAATCTTATGGAAACGCTATGATATATGTATGACCAGTCTTTTTTCTTTTGTGGTTTTCCAGTTTCTGTCTTTGTCTTTGAGTTTAGACAAAAGTTTCCTGTTGCTTTCATTTGATTTATGTAGTTGGAGTTTTGGATTATTGAATTTGCATGCCAATTTCTTTCCTAGGATTTAGAAACTTTTCACTCATTATTTTATTAAGCAAGTGATTAGTCTCCCTTCTTTCTCCTTGTTAGACATTGATAGTGTATATATCTATTTCCTTTCCTTTCTTTTCGCCTCTCTGACATCATGATTTCAAATGACCTGTCTTCAAGTTTGCAGATTATCTCTTCTGCCTGCTTAAGCTTCCTGCTCAATTCCTCTTGAGAACTTTCAGTTCATGGACAGTATTTATTGGCTCCAAAATTTCGTCTTGGTTCTTTACTATGGTTTTTATTTCTTTGCTGATATTTACATTTTTCATCCATTCATCACTTTCCTGATTGCATTCATGTTTATTTTACTTCCAGATAATCACAGATATGTGATAGTTGATTTTGTAGCTTTTTAATTTTATTTTTTATATTTTTATATTTTACATACCAATCTCAGTTTCCCTTCTCTCTTCTCTTCCTGCTCCAGCATTCCCCAACCTGTATCCCCATCTGCTCCTTAGACAGGGTAAGGCCTCCCTTGGGAAGTCAACTAAGTTTGTCCCATCACCTCCTTGAGGTAGGATCAGGGCCCTCCCTACCCCCATGCCTAGGCTGAGCAAGGTATCTCTCCATAGAGAATGGGCTCCACAAAGTCAGTTCATACATTAGAGTTAGATCCTAGTCCCACTGCCAGTGGCCCCATGTACTGCCCAAGCCACACCATTGTCACCTGTATTCAAGAGGCCTAGTTCGGTCCTATGTAGGCTTCCCATTTGTCAGTCTGGAGTCAGTGATCTCCCATTAATATCTTATTTGTTTAAATAAAGCTTGCCTAGAGATCAGAGGGTGGAGTTAACCAACAGCTAACCATAGAGGTCTGGAGGTCTGTACTAACAGACAGGAAGTAATATGACTGGGCAGAGAGAGGAGGTGATAAGGCAAGAGCAAACAGGAACTCTCTTTTTGGCTGGGAAGTGGAGAGGTAAGATGGCTCGTGGTTTGGTTCCTTCGTCTCTCTCATTTCTCAGCATTTTCCCCTAAATCTATCTGACTCTGAACTTTTATTATTAAGACCTATTAGAACTTGTGCTACATATTGGTGCCCAATGTAGGGCTTATTGCTGCTGCGTGGAACAGTAAAAGCCGGACTGGATTTCAAGGCAGCTACCTAGTTTGGCAGCAGCCCAAGAAGGGGGTTCAGGAAAAGTCCAACAGGAGAGAAGAAAGGAAAACCTAGACATTACGGTGGTAACTCTAGTCAGATTAGCTGGTGACTGTAAAACCACAGATAAATGGTTTTTCCATGAGTATGTATCCCAAACATTTTATGTCTTTTCCCTTTGATTTGGACAATGTTTCCATTTTGTTGTATATCTTGCAGTCTCTTACTTGGATTTGGACATTCATCTGAAATTTAAAAAAGCAATCAACTCTCTTTGTGTCCTGACTATGTGCAAATGAAGAGGCTTTCCCAATCAACCGGAGTAGATGTTCCAGGACCATCTCTGTTCTTTGGCTCCCTCTAGTGTCTACCTGTAGTACTGTATCTCTACGATGCAGTGGTAGTTTTCAGCAGATCCAGAATTTTGTCTCCTGCCTGTCTTTCTGCCTGTCATAAAGTGACGGAGCTTCAAGTCAGGTGAAGGAGAAAATAGTCCCTTAGGCAGCTTCCATTAAGCATACTATCTACTCCTTTGTTCCCACCCTGTTCTGAAAGCGGAGCCTTTTATTACGTTTCTTAATGGAACTATGGTATGCTGTGGAGTGTATGTATGGCATGAAAAACACCATACATTGCCCAAAACCCTTTATTGGCATCCTTTTCTTGCCTTTATAAGCACCTGGGTGCTCTGTTCTCACCTCTTCTTAACATTAACAGAACTTAATGCAGTCTTTATGACGGAGAAAGGTCTCCCTTACAGAGACTGCTCCTTCCAAGATTAGCTAAACTGTTCAGTTAGATACAATAATCCCAACTCCTTGTTATGCAGTAACTTCACCTCCTCATTCACCTACAGTCGGTAATCCTCCTTCCTATTGAACTGTAATAAACACACCAAGCTTGTGGGGTGCTGGAGCTACTCCATCAGAGCAAGCATGACGCACATGACTCCAGATTTTTCTGTACTCACGTTTGTCCTTCCTTCACATCCTCACCACTCAAGTCCCCGGAGCCTTGCAGACACAGCAAGCACATCAGCTTTGGATTGAACTGCAGCAGTTCCTGCAGAGATTCATAACTGGTTATAGTGCTGAGAATGTCACTGGCGAATGCCTGTCCCTAAATGGGACATCTATCACACCCCATCCAAAGCTTAGGAAATACCATATAAGAGGGGACAAGAAGAATGTAAGAGCTGGAGGAGGGGGTGTTGTGAAATGCTGTCTTCTGGGCAGGACAGGACTATTGCACTCTGGAACTCTCAGAAGCTGTGGTCACTTGCACAAGATTGGGCCTTCGACATTTTATTCTAGAGAGGTATTCCTGTTAAGGCCCTGCCCTTCTGAGGATTTAGTAAATGAATGGTTGCTTGGGGGAGGAACAAACAAGCCCCAACTCCTGTCTGAGGTTATATAAGCAGTTAATAGTTGCTGGGGCCACGAGAAGCATTCTTATCCATATTGTAACCACAGCAAAGTTGCCCAAGCTCCCGTAAATAACCCTTAATCAAACTCACTGACTTGTCAGAACCTAAAAACTAGTCTGGCTAAGCTATCCTTTGAAAATAGAGATTAAATTCTGAGCAGAGGATTTTGAACAGCAAAGGCCATCTTGCTCTTCAAAATTTACCTCATTTTCAAATATTTTTTTTTCAATTCATACTCCTCCCATCTAATCCAGGAAATTAGATATATGTATAGAAACTTTTTCCTACTCTATGCTTTTCTCCTCCTCATAAGCTATATTAGAGTATAACTTAAAGTGAGTCCTCTCCAAAGTAAGCTCTGAGGTGCAGTCTATTCCAACCTTTGAGATTTAATGCTGAGAAAAAGCTTCTGTAACAAACACGTTACTCATGTTATCTGTGTGCATGTTCATGCGTCACCTGTGCATCTATACCTTACAGTGAAGACGAAATTTCTGCTAACTTTAACATAGAACTTTATTGAAGCACAAGACTCAAATAGATATACACGAGAACAACCATTAGAAGGGCATCTTATTTACAATGGCTCAGTCCACTTTAAACTCACATATTGAACATCACAATCAAGAAACAAGTATCATCAACAAATGTGTTTTCGGTTGTATATTCATTTGGCATCAGAAAAGTGATACAGTTACACAGAGTTGGGTAAATTTATCACCAGGATTAAAGAGGTACACTGAAACACAGAATCAGCTGCGAAGCAAAAGCATTATTTTGGGAGCATTTGACTCAGAAACACAAGGACGATCATAAGCAAATGGTTAAGCATATTAATTTCTCTTGCTCTGCTTCAGGGTGATTTTTAATTGTCAGGTTTGCGCTTCAGAGTCTTAGCAAACATTTCAATCTCTTGGAATGCGGAAATAAGTGGGTCAAGATTCACCTCATCATCATCATCATCATCATCATCGAATAGTGCTTCATTTTGTATATTTTTGCTCATATTGTCAAATATCGCAAGAACCAGCTGAATGTTTTCACTTGAGTCCTCCCTACTAAAGAGGGCCATAAATTCTGACATTGACTCAGTAGACAGTAAGCGTTTTGTCATGACAATGCTTTCAGACAAATTCAGGAGCAGTTTCAGAACATGAAGCCTTGTTTTGGTATCGCCTGAATTCAGTAAGTAGAAAAACCCAGCCAAATAATTGGCAACCACTTTGTGATAGTCAGAAGTAGAAGTGAGGTGTGTAATCATTGTCAGTCCAGACAACTGGTCAGAGGAATTCAACTCATAATCAAAGGTATCCTCACAAACATGACACACGTATGTCTGAATCATGTTTAGATCTGGATATGGTGGAGCCATGCTAACCATATTTTCCAAAAACCTTGTCCTGACACGGGTAGATGGATAGTTAAGTAAGGCTTCAATCAGTGAGATAACACCCGAGTTTCTAATGAAATCACGAGTAAACTGAGAAGCGCTTCTCATGCCCATTGCAATCTTAGAGATTTCATGGACAAAAGGGTCTCGGTTTCTGTCCATTAATAAAAGAAGTTCCTCAAACTCCTCAGAACCAATTCTAAGATCACACTGTATGCAGCTACAAGACCAGCTCTCAGGCTGCACACTTTCCTTGGCCTTAAGGTGCTCTCGAATCTCCTGGACTGATCGGTAAGAGGGATCATACTGAAATGGGAACTCAGGTACAGGCTGATCTGGAGATTCCTGCTCTCCTTCTGTCTTAGGTTTTCCCCCAAACATTTCAGCAAACAGAGAAGCTGCTTCTTTTGGAAATCTGAAGGGGCTTATGGATGGGAAGCCAGCCTTTCCCCATGGACCAGGCTTAAACTGAACAGTGACCTCGTCCCAGCTCTGGGGTCTGCGGGAAGGATCAGGTTCCTGCTCAGCTGGAGACTTAGGCTCGCAAATGGCCTTGAACACTGGGGTGGGATTTGATTCAAAAGTAGTTTCATCCCCTTCCCAGAACCAGGATCCCACTATGGTTTCAGCTTCGGTATTAAATCCATAATTATCTCCACTGTCAACCTTGTTAATCACCTCATCTTTTGGCCCTTGCTCATTTTCTGGATTGGACCCACCGATCACAGTTTCAGATTCTCCAGTGCCCTTGTCACTAGACCAGAAACGGGACCCAACAATCATTTTGCCCTCACCCTCTGGCTTGGACACACGGTTTACACCTGCTCTTGCACTGTCATGTTTTGCAGCCCAGATCAAAGACTCAAAAATTGCCTCTTCTTCAGTTTCTGATCCAGTTTCGATTGTCTGCGACCCAGCCCCTATTTTGGCTTCTTCGGTCCAGAACCATGACCCAATAATTTCCTCCTCCTTAATTCCAGGAGTGGACTCAAAAGCACCCCTCCTCCTTGCATCTAGACTGGCCTCTTCCTTGCCCCAGAACCAGGATCCAACTGTATCTTCCTCTTCGGATGCTACCTTGCTCTCTTCCTTAATCTCAGGAGCTGGCTGAAATTTGTCCTCATCCCCAGCCCAAAACCAAGAGCCAATGATGTCTTCCTCTTCAGCTTCTGGTCTGGCTTCCTCTCTGGTAGGAGCCTCTACAATAGTTTCTTCATTTTCCTTCCAGAACCAAGAATTGAATGTGTTGTCCTCTAAAGTTGGTAGCTTGATTTCTTCTCCAGTCTCATCATCTATATTTCCCTCTTCTGCAGCCCATAACCAGGACCCTGCAATGGCCTCCGTCCTTGGATAATTATTGGACCAGAGCCATGAATCAACAGTGTCCTCTTGCTCTCTCAGAGTAGACTTCAAGCTTTCTCTATTGGTAGGGCACAAACTGGGCTCTTTTGCCCAGAAGCAAGATCTTTTATTACTGTCCTCAGCTTCTGCCACAGGCTTGTATCTGCTATCAGCTGCGTACTTCATACTGGCTTGTTCTCTGGCCCCAAACCACGGGGATATAATGGGCTCTTCCTCATCCTCCAGGCTAGACTTACTATTAACTTCAGCCTCCACACTATTGTCTACTTTAGCCCAGAACCAGGGCCCAATGATGGGTTCCTCCTCAGCTCCTGCCATGATGTCAGAGCAAGGTTCAGTCCCTAAATCCACATGTGCCTGCTTTTCAGACCAAAACCAAGGCACAAAGATTGTCCCTTTTGTAGATGCTGGCCTGGCCTGTTCTTCAACCTCAGCCTCTGTATTGACTTCTCCAGCCCAGAACCAGGAATCGGTACCTTCTTTTTCCTCAGGCTTTGGCATCTTCTCACAACTGACTCCAACAGATCTCAAGCTGTTCTCACCAACGCCCCAGAACCAAGATCCAAAAATGGACTCATCGTCAGCCTGTAAGTTGACATCTTCATCATCAGCCCAGAACCAGGACCCAACAATGTTATCCTCCTCATTAGCTACTGGCATAGGCTTAGAGGTACCCTTAAGTCCGTTTTCCATACTGCTCTTCTTCCCAGAACCTAGAGAGAAACTATTAACTTGTTCCTCCTTATCCCTTGGTCTGGATTTACGACAGGTCTCAGAGTCCACACTGGCTTCTTCTTCACTCCAGAACCAATCTCCAACAAAGGGCTCCTCCTCTACATATAGGCTGGCCTTAGTGCTCACCCTCTCTACCATCCTGGACTCCTGGGTATCCCAGAACCAAGCCCCAATGAGGACTTCCTCCTCCGGTCTGGCTTCTTGTTTGGGATTTGCTTTGGCCCTGGTTTTCACTTCTTCCTTTGGCACTGCTCTGGTTCTGGGCTCTTTCTTTGTCTTAGACTTTGAAAAGGCACTAGCCTTCTCTTCAGGCATGAACCAGGACTCTTTTTTATTTGTATCTAGAGATCCAGAGAGGACATCGCTGCAAGCTTCTCGCTTGGCCTGGTGCCTGGCCCTCATATTGACCCCCTTCCTGGCTCTGGGTTTGGATCGAGATTTGGCCTCTTCTCCAGACCAGAACAAAGATTTTGCATGATTTTCACATTCAGATCCAGAGGTGGAATCAACACGGATCTCCTTCTTAGGCCTAAACCAAGACCTATTGTTGGGCTCTTCTTTGGGCCTAGACCAGACTTTGGGCTTTTCTTTGGCCCAGAACCAGGGAGTCTTAGCAGACTCATCCTCAGAATCAGAGCTAGAAATATTATAGAACTCTTGTTTGTTTTTGTGTCTAGGCATGGCATTTGCCTCTTGTTTGGCCATGTGCCTGAACCTGTTATTATTGGCCTTCATGTTTTTCCTAGGACGAAATCTTGCACTAGTTTCATCTCTGTTCCAGAAGGAGGAACTTCCTGAAGGTTTATCTGCCCATCTGAATTCAGAATTCTCATAAGCCTCTCCTTTGGGGATAGGCCTGGGACGGTACCAGGATCCCATACTGGTTCCCTCTTCTGAGCCATAGGAAGGCTGGAATCCTGCTTGAGGATTAGCCTTTTTGGGAAAACTCTCAGTGTCCATGTTACCAAGTTCTCTATCTACAGACAGGCACTTAGCTTGAGCAACAGCCCCAGAATCAGTACTGACCAGTGGAGAGTCTGCACTACTGATCTGACATTGCTTGCCCATCCTTGACATGGGCTCTGCCCGAAACTTACTTGGGGCCCATACTTGGGCATCATTCTTCGACCGTGAAATAGGGATTGCCTTGGGTTTGCATTTAGCGTATCCCCCGCCTGGTGAACTGACTTCACTCCTAGGTCTTGCTCCAGGAGTACTCTTAGGCTTCACTTTGGGCCGTGCTCCAGGCATTACCTGTGTCCTAACCTTGGGTCTGACCACCAACGGGACTTCATTCTCTCCCTCTGCAACACTGCCATTGTTGGTATTGGCATTCTCATCCCCAGGCTTACTTTCAGCCTTTGCCTGGGCACCAGGCTCGATCTCTGCCCTAGTCATGATATATGTTCGATAAAACCCTGATGTATACCGATCAACAACAGTAAACCTTCACTAGAGATCTCGTACTGGATTGATCTTCACAACACTCTTTGGTAAGTTAGGCTACGAGATTGAAAAGAACCAGACTGGAAAGACAATCCAGCACTCAAGGAGGCTCCTACCCAAGCAGTCTCAGTCAATAACACAGATACAGGGCAGAAGAGGCGAAACCAAGCCGGAGGAAGATGGACAGGTCCTAGGTGGGTGCAGACCTGTTGACTGCACTGGTCAGCAGCAACCGCAGAATCACCAAGCAGCCACTGTAGGTGATCTAGAAAGAGAAAAAAGAAGAAGTCAGTCCTATACAGTTCGCTGGCCTCCTGCAGAAACTTACATAGAGACATTGGTGAATGATGGTGAGGGGAACAGCTCAGCTAGGAGAAAACCTCTATGTTCCTCTTGCCTGCTGGAACACAGGTGCAGGGTTGAGGAGACAGTGCAAACGCTAGAAATGAAGACAGAGGGGAGCCCCAAATCTCTCAGTAGTCAGCCTTGTTGATCACTACTACCCCATCTAAACGTGAACCCTCTCCCATACCCACCTTCACCGATGTGGTGCAATTCCCTCCTCTGTTCTATGTCCAGGTGGTGTTCAGATCAACAGCTGATGGCAGGGAGTCCTACAAATGCATAAAAGAAGATGGAGGCTCAGTGCTTGCTACGTGGGCACACATCTCTGAGCCCAATCAAACAACAAAACCATGCCTGCTTTCTGTCTAAAGTTCCTGTTTCCTGGTCCCAGCTCTTATGTCTTGTCCAGTGGATCATAGTCTAATTCACATCTACCTCAACATTCCTAGTAGCTCTGGGTCCTCCACTGCCCCCCATTCTCACCAACCTCCAGAGATCCGAGACAGTCTCCTCGATGACTGTTTTCTTTCTTGCAGAGCTGACCAGACTTAAAGCAGGTCTGTGGACAAAGAGATAAAAATGTAAGACAATCAGGAGATGATGGCAGCAGCTGTGGGCAAATTAGGGGGCAGTAAAGACATCATGCACCCTCTTGGGTTACAACAGTCTGCATTTGTTTCCTCAGTACCTGGGTCCTCTACTGCCCACGATTC